AATCCAGGTCCTCTGGAAGAAGAGTCTGTACTCTTAACTGCTGACATATCTCTCCAACCCCTAATTTGTCTATTTATGATTTTTTAATTTATTTTATGTGTATAGGTGTTTTGGTTGCATGGATGTCTGTTTCCCTCTTGCATGACTGATGCCTGAGGAGATCAGAAGAAGGTGTTAGATCTTCTGAACTGGAATTATAGATGTTGTGAGCTGGAAACTAAACTCTGGTCCTCTTCAAGAATATCAAGTGGTCTTAAGCATTATGCTGTCTCTCCAGTATAAATTTTTCTATTTTTAAAAATGACAATAATGAGGTGCTCTATCTCTCCAGCTACTAGCTGCAAATTGTACATTATCAACATAAGTACATAACACGTATTACCAAACACAAAAACATGCAGACTTGGCTTGGCCAGTAGGCAGAAAACCCTGCAACTTGCTGTACTTGGATTCCTAGTCTCTTAAACCAGTCAGAGAACAAACTTTGCTAATTTCTTGAGCATCATCGAAGTCCAGATGGCCCTAGGAAATTTGTTAAGATCCTTAGTCTTTCATCTGTGGATGAGCCTAACAGAGGATTCGTAATTACAGAGATCATGGCAGGCTTGCTGGGTCTTCCCTTTATCTCCAGAGTGTTAAGTCAAATGGGCCCCTTCTTCAATCCTTGTTTGGTTTGTCAGTAGCATTTGACCAGCCATGTTCATGTTTTTATATATCTAGCTACAATGCTTATTTGATAGATTAAACTGCATGCAATTAAGCTTAGCAACACAGTTTTTTAACAATGAATGTCACAGCAATTGTTACATCTCTGCTCAATAAACTTACTTCACTGTTTTATAATAAATATATGTCTGACACTAGATTTTGAAATAGTATGTTTAAGGATATGATTCTTTTCTACATATGTATCTCAAGGAGGTCCATTCTCTGTAGTTATAAAAAACTATTTAAATTTCCTTTGCCTCTAAATAAAATCAAAGTGGCAACATCAAAACTGACCTTTCTCTTCAGAAAACCAATTCTCAAACATAAAATGATGTTTATCAAATAAATTACGAAAGACAAAGCCAGGAATTGTCATATCATCCACAGAGGCACACATAATAACCCAACATGACAGATGTAAACATGTGTATGTAAATATATATATGTATATAATCTTATCATGAATAGTTTTATGAATTATGATACAGATATTCCAAGTGGGAAGGTCCTGAACATAATTCTTAAAACCATTCATGATAATACATAGAAAAGTATGAATACTGAGGAAAGAAGAGGACAAGAAAGACACAAGAAAGTCTGGCCTAGATCACAAAGGATCAAACCTTTGTTCTGTATGTGCATTCTAGCACCAACTCTCATTCATCCAGCATCCGTTCATGTAAGTCTACAGTGTACACATCACCCTACACCCTCCTGTACACAGGGATACCGACATCAGCTCTCAGAGCACTGGCAGAGCGGCTTATTTTTATTCTGTTTCTCCTGCAGAATTTATTTGTTTTTTGTTTGTTTTACCTTCATTAATAACAGTCCTGGTTAGTTTTTTTTTTTTAGTTTCAACTTGATACAAGTCAGAGTTATTTGGAAAAAAGGAATCCTCAAGTCAGAAAATGCCTCTAAAAAATTGTCCTGTAGACAACCCTCTGGGTCTCTTTCTTGAAAATGATTCAGGAAGGGCCAACTCACTATGGAAGTGCCACCTGAGCAGGTGGTCCTGAGTCATAGAAGTCAGGCTCACAATCTACAGGGAACAAACCAGGAAGCAATGCTCCTCTATGGCCTCTGTTTTAGTTTCTGGCTCCAGGCTCTCGGATTGACTTCCTGCCCCTGACTTCCCTTCATGATGGACGACAATCATTTCCTCCACAAGCTGCTTTGGTCATAGTGTTTATCACAATAACTCTACACTTTTCTATATAAAGAGAGAGAAAATTACAAATTGATCCTGACCTTTCACACTTGCTAAACACCATGTAGTTTCTCTCTAAAAGTCTCTTATTCCATCCATCTTGGGAGTAAGCTAGCATGATCTCTCTCTAGTATGTTCTAGTAATTTCCTTCATGATCTCCTAGCACAATGACTCTCAGCCTTCCTAATCCTGCAACCCTTACTACAATTCCTCATGTTATGGTGACCACCAACCATAAAATGTTGTTGTTGTTACTTCACAACTATAATTTTGCTACGGTTCTCAATTGCAGTGTATATATCTGATATGCAGAGTAACTCATATACAACCCTGGGTGGGGTCATTACCCACAGGTGGAGAACTTCTCTTAGCACCTTCTTTAGATCCTAAAGCATGGACCTTCCTTTGTTATTTCTTATCCAAATACAGCCAAATGGACTTTTAAAAGCACACCTCTGACCATTGCTTCTCCTTTATATGAAAATCAATTCTCTCAAGTTCCTCATGGACCCACATGAGCTGATATGGGATGAACTATGCTCACCAAAAATACATACATTGTAACCTTTACCCACCATGTCTGTGAGTGTGATTTGATGCAATTACAGTAAAATGGGGTCTTTAGGGTGAACCCTAACAGAATATTACCAGTGTCCTTACAAGAATAGACAATGATACAGGCTGGTTCAGAGAGAATACTTCCTGAAGACATAAGAAGGCAGAAACCTACAGTCCAAACAATGAGAACAACCACAAGAAGAAAAACAAACCGAGTTGAACACCTTGGTCTCAGAGTTCTAGCTTCCAGAAATGAGAAAGTTGAATTATTCCCCCGCCATAATATTTTTATTAATGCTTTGGAAATTTCATATAAGGTACTCTATCACACTTGCTATCCATTCCTCCCAGGTCCACCACTCTACCCCTATGCTTCCCTAAAACAAAACCAAAAACCCCTCCAATATGTGTTGCCAACATACTCACTGGAGAATGCTCAAACTCAAAGTGGCCAGCACCTTAAATAAAAGTGAGTTTCCCACCGCATCCATGCCACCACCCATCATTTGTGAAGAGCTACACTTCAGCTTCTTTATTACAGTTTTAAGAGCTCTCTTCAATATCTTCCTGTCTGAACTGTCCTTTTGGGTGGATGGGGGGGTGGGAGTCTGGGGACTGTTATCACAAAAGCCTTCAATGTCTCCCATTCTCAGTTATGAGGCTGCAGTCATCAATATCATTTCAGGGAACCATAGCAGCTGGCAGTATGGACTACAGATCACCAACATCAAACTGGTCCCTGGGGAAGCACAGACCACAGACATCAACAAAGCCTGCTGCAGCATTATAGATCATGGATACCAACATGGCCTCCGGCAGCAGCATGAACCACAGAAGTCTTTCAAGGAGAAGTAATCCAGAAAGCAAACCTTCCTTCATCCTGAATATCTTGTTTCTCAGAGGCAGCATGTCCTGGGTCAGGTCCTATGTGAGCTCCAAGCTGCTGTAGAACACTCTGCCCTTGGCACCAGCCACCTCGCCCACACCATGCTTGTAGCTTGGTTGTGAGGAGTATGACTAGCTCGCAGTCTCTAATGTTAACTGCTTCATACTCACTAAGGAGCTAGTCTCTTTGTGGTATACCCCCAATGACTGAACAAAACCATGTCATAGCAGTCCTACCTCACACGGGACAGATGGTGAGCCAGTGTTAGCACTATGCACTATTACTCTGGCTTCTAGGGGACTAAGGAATATTTCCGCCTGGGACATGAACCAAATAAGCTTGTGTTCCTTACTCTTCCTCTTGGTACTGAATATACCTTGGCATCATATAAATGACTTGAATGTTTCCACAGGCTTTCTGAATGAGTTACTTGTTCAGTTAGTTGAGTGTGAGACTGGGGTCAAGGACATTAAGTCTATTGACTATTGCCAGTTAGTTTCAGAAATGGTAGCTAGTTAAAAACGGACTGTTAACTGGTTATACCTAAATTCCTTATACCCCTTACACACACTTTGTTAGTCATTTCTCAACTGCCTTAATTTTCTGTCACATAAACAGTCTACATGTGGTGTCAGATGGAGGCGGAGGAGTGTTAGCATGGTTAGTGACAAGGAAGGTGCCTGAATTGAAGTCATGAGTGAAAAGAAACAGCCATTGCTTTCTGGTATGGAAGAATTTTCTAATTCATTGCTGAAAAAGCAATAATCCATAGCCAGGTATGGTACTACAACCTATAATTCCAGTATTCTGGAGCCTGGAACAGGAGGATTGCTGCAAGTCTAAGGTCATTCAGGGCTACCATAGTAAGTTCAAGGCCAGCCTTTTGTACATGGTTCCAAGAAGGTCTTATCAGGCTCTCAGGACTCACATTAAAAAGATGGTCATGGCTGAATGCAGACTTAACCCCAGCAGTGGGTGGACAATGGACACTGGAGGATTACTGGGATTTGCTGGCCAGCCAGCATAGCTGAAATGTAACCGTGAGCTCAGATTCAGTGAGAGATCCTGTCTCAAGGGAACAGAGAGAAAGAGTGATAGAGGAAATGACTGCTGTCCTTTATGACTTCTGAATATATGAGCCTAGGCACAGGCATGTACACATGCACATATGTGCACACACACCACAAACAACAAAAAAGGAAGAGGAGAAGGAGAAAATAAAAGCACAAACCCCAAGTCAACCATTCACCTCTTCATAGATCAAATACTTGTAGACCAGGAGAGAGCTGTAGTCACCCCTCACTCACTCCATCAGGAGCTATACCCATAGTTCCATATTTGAAAGAAATCCATGGATGTTTTCTTCAGGAGGTCTACAGCAATGTTTATTCCTCTTTCTCTATTTAACCATCCTCCCTTCATGTAAAAAAAATACTCTGAACTGTGTAGTGGAGTTAATAAGAGTAGGAGCCTCCTGGGTTAGTCTTGGGCTTAAATCTAAGTTCTACCATTGACTGACTGGATGACCCTGTACAGTTACTTAATGTAATAGGAATACTATAAACCCAGAGACAGATATTGGGGTTCAAGCTGAAGATCAGAGAAGCAAAGCAGCCAAGCCACCAGAGACCTCTTACCTCTACCAAGGCTGGAAGAGTGATACTGTCCTCAATGTTGCTGGAGACTACTACACGCTCTGAACCCTGCTCCTGTCTCATATACCTCTCTAGTGCTGGGATGAAAGGCATGCACCACCACCGCCCAGCATCTATGGCTAACTAGCATGGTTGCCAGGGTTAAAGGTGTGTACCACCATTTCCTGACCTCTATGGCTGTGAGTAGCTTTGTATTCTTCTCTCCAGGCAAGCTTTATCAGGCCATAAGCAATATATCCCCATAACTTAAACTTTCTGAGTTTTAATTCATACCATGGTAAACTGAATAAAATAGTGCATACCATATAGACCCAATGCAAGGTTGAAATACAATGAAACATAAGTACCTGCCTCTTTCTCGAGTTCTTTATTTCTTCCAAAACAAACACTATGTCATATTTCTAGTTCCAGGGTAAATGAAATTTGTGCTGATACAAAATATGTTCTGATTACAACTATGTCTTTGTAAGTAGACTCTTGGCATAATTTCTGCTTGGAACTCTATCAGCAAACATGACTTTGAAAAATACTGTTTTTCTTTAATGATGAGATTATGTCCGGTCTATTGAAGTCCAAAGGTCTCTAAGGTAAAAACAGCTGATGCAACTTGACTATTAACTTAGCAGTTTGGATTCAGGTGTCAATACTCTCTGAATGAAGGTTGAGAAGCTTTAGAGTCTGTAAGTTCCTGTAAGCTCAGGAAGTCCTCTCTTGATAATCTTTAAACGTTTTAAAAAGATTTATTATTTTTATGTGTGTGTGCCTACATGAGTTTATATGTACCATAAGTGGGCAGGAAGCCACAGGGACCAAAAGAGGGTGTGTGATCCCCTGTAACTAAATTTACAGTCAGTTGTGAGCTGCCATGTGGGTGTTAGGAACTGAACCTGGGGTCTCCTCTGCTACAGGCCACAGGATTATACAGGGAGATATCAGCTGAAAAAATCATGAGGCTGACCCACCAGGATCATCATGAATTCCACTGGAGGAAATCCAATTTGCAGAGCTTTGAGGATACCTGCTTTTTGTATAGTCACTGTCACTTCGATTTTTAAAAAAACCCTCGTGAAACTACAGTAGTGGGATTTGTCCCAAAAAAACCCCAGCACTGTATTAATCAATTATTGGGTTCAACTCCCTGTTGTACTGGTAAACTGGATTACCTTCCCCCACACCATGGGCTCTGGTGTGAAAGTATTCACTCACTCAAAGAAACCTTTGTTCTCATAGTCAAATCCACATAACTTAGACGCTAGCTCCCTACAATTATGTCTTACAGAAGGACATCCTGCAAGGAGAGGAGACTTGCCAATAGACCACATTCAGAACTTCAAAAGACAGGCACTGAGTGGGAGACATGGCCTGTCTGCCCCCACTGACAAGCAGGGCTGGGAAGTCTTGATTTCTCTAATAGTCAACTCAGGAAAGTGCAACCTACTGGTCCCTGCTCTACATTAACAAGCTATTAATATTCTGTATTCACCTTCACCTCAGTTTCACTGACAAAAGATCTTAGTCTAGGAAATTAACTGCTTGTGCCTTTACCCCTAGAGATACAGGAAAATGCATTGGAATGCTTAAGCACCCACAGAAGTAGGAATTTCCTCTCACCAGGGCATCAGCAGTATGGGTGCCCTGCTGCTTAGCCTGGGCAGAACCCTTCTATTTAACATAGCCTTTCCTAGAGCCCAGGTAAGGAAGCAGAAGAAGGTGCTCAGAGAGTGCACAGACTGCCATGTTTTCTTCACTTTTTCTACATTTACCAATTACAAACTTCTAGTTTACCTAGCCACACAAATGTAGTTTATGTACTAAAACCCATCTCCCCTTTTAGAAATCATAGCCCCTGACTCCATTAACACTTCCTGCCTCTTAAGTTTTGCCCAGATATTTGTTGTAAAAGCCATGCTCCCTCTGAGACATAAAGCACCTACTTTGTCAGATCTTATCTGTTTTCAGGCCCTGAGAAATGCATGTCTGGTATCATTGCTATTTCCAGAGAACTGCTAATTGTGTCTGTTTGGGTATATAAACTAGACACCTTATGGGATCAAAAAGAACATTCTGAAGAATGAAGAGACATGAGTAGAATGTATCTATGAGCTGATTCATTCACCCTCAGATTCTTTTAGCCAGCCCCCATGCTTGATGTTTAGCATCCTGCCTGAACCCTGAGGGGAAACAAAGGCTGGCACACATAGGTCTGCATACTCCTCAAGAACAAGTTTCAAGGGATCTGACTCCCTCTTCTGAACTCCACAGAACCAGGCATGCAGCAGTGCACAGACACATATCCAAAGCAAGCATTCATAAACATAAAATAAAAATATGTATTTTAAAAATGATTAATGTGTCTACTTCTACACTCCACTGGAGACTTAGAGCCTAGATGCTCTGCCCCCTTGGCCTCCCATTTCAGCTCCACCCCCCATGCACACACACACACACACACACACACACACACACACACACACACATTGGTTTTCTAATTCCAAGACAGATCCAAAGTTACATCTGGCAGGTACCAAATGGCAGCTCTCTAAGGCATCCACTATTTTTCTTGAGATTACGTTTTGAGAATTGTAAGGGTACTAAATCAATCCATGGCAGACGAGACTGCCAAGTTTGAAGAGGGCAAGATCAATTCTTGGCTTCACATCAATAAGTGAGGAAACATTTCACAGAGAATGAGAAAAAGAGGAGGAGATCCACCGTTAAAAAAAACTGAACTCAGAAACTGTATAAATACAAAGCAGCTGGGGAGTGGAGTGCAGCCACCATCAGGAAAGACTCAGTCCTGACAGAAAGACGATTCTATTCCATCTAAAATGAAGCTGCTGCTGCTTCTGCTTGTGCTGGGCTTGGAGCTGACCCTAGTCTGTGTCCATGCAGAAGAAAAAACTAGTCTCACTGGAAAGAACTTTAATCCAGAAAAGGTAGAATTGTGGGGCTTGGGGACGTCTGACCCAGAGGATGCTCCTGGGAACTCTGAAGCCAAGTGGGGCCTTTGAGGGGAGGGTTGTGGCTCCTCACTCTGTGAGACAAATGAGAGGCTTCAGACTGTGAAACAAGACCACCTGTATGCTATCCATATCTAACAATGCCTGGGGTCCCTCACTCCCACTGAGAGACAGATAGGATCTTAAGTATTGTGCCAACTGATGTGAGTGAGATCTAATCCTGTGTATGTTCATGCCCAGGCCCCACGGGTCAGAGTTCAAGTGGAAACATGTCCATGAAGTGTGCCTGTCCCTCCTCTCTTAACCATTCACTTATCTATTACAGATTGTGGGAGAATGTCATTCCATTCTTTTGGCCTCTGACAAAAGAGAAATGATAGAGGAACATGGAAGCATGAGAGTTTTTGTGAAGAGCATTCATCTCTTCAAGAACTCTTCTTTAGCTTTTAAATTCCATACAATGTAAGTGAGGTGTTTTTATCTGAGAAAGAAGAAATGGAAGTCTGTCATGGTCTCAGGCCTTCACACACACACAAGCACACACACATACACACACACACACACATACACACTCACACACACACACTGAGCCTGAATCCAAAACTGAAGTGCCCCATCTGATACTAAACACAGATTTCATAACTGGGGCTTTCTCAAAAGCCAGAGACAAACATTGGTAACAGGAACAAATTCACTGGGGATGGAATAAACAAAGGCCAGAGGCATTTCTGAAACCATAATTAATGAGGTGAATAGCACAGCTTAAAAGTAGATGATCACGAAGTAAATATTTCTGACTAGTTGTTAGCCAAAAAAGTCTATTCCTTCAACTGCACTAAAGGGGGTATTAATTCTCCTCTGTGGATTGGAGAGGTATATTGGAAACATTTGAAAGCACTAATTTGATGCAGGTGGTGGACATCTGGTGATAACCTACACAAGTGAGTGACACTGGGAAGTAGTCACAGTTGTGACAGTGATTTGAAGTGATTGTCATTCTTTTTCTAAATGATAAGCAAATATGTGATTAGTAAAGTATCAAGTATAAGTGAAATAACACAAATGAAAGCCTTTGCTCATTTTACAAAAACATTCAAAAGTTAAGTGGAATTAGAAATGGGAGGTTTGGGTAGAACAGAGGCTAAGGGGGCCAGCCATAGCAGTACCCTTAAGCACCAGCTGACTGTATTTCACAGTGTCAACGGAGAGTGCACCGAGCTGTATGTAGTATGTGACAAAACAGAAGAGGATGGTGTATATGAGGTCATATGTAAGTATACAAAAAGTGTATATATCTATCCATAAGGAACTTAGTAAGCCCTAATGTCTTTATCGTGTGTGTGTGTGTGTGTGTGTGTGTGTGTGTGTGTGTGTGTGTGTGATCACTTGTGTATGCAATGCTGGGGATTGAACTCAAGGCCTTGTACATATAAGTCAAACTCTCTACTACTGAACCACACCCCCAAATCTTCTTCAGATTCTCAGTTGCTACTTGATCATTGTTTATTTAGCTAATGCATCAGGGGCCATCTAATAACTACCATCCCAGTCTTGGGCAGGTTGAACAAGTAAGGTAAGATGGTTTCTCATCTCCTTCCATCTGTCTGATTCTGCCCCAGTGGATGCCACCAGTTCACATCACTCAGGGTGCAGCAGCAGGTGTTTGTTACAGTGAGCTTATGGAAGACAGAGAGAGTTCAATGGAAGTTGCTGATGGAGGTAGACAGGCTTTGGAGAGGATAACAGAAGAGAGTTGCTGCTCTGACTAACTGTTCACTAGAGGTCAAGCCATCAGCATCCTTTCTCCTAGAAGTTACTTCAGGAAGTCCAAAACCTACAGATAGAAAGCATTAGGCATTTTCACCAATCTCTATTAGAATATGCATTTCATCTTTTTTGGTTTTTTGTTTGTTTTTTCTTTTTATGTTTTTATTTAAATTAGAAACATGCATGCTTCAAATGTCAATCCCAGCTCCTCCCCAATCCCTTGTCCCTCAACCAGCCCTGCTTCCAATCCCCACATCGTTCCCCAGGAGGGTGAGGCTCTCCTTGGGGGCATCTCCAGAGTCTGTCATTTTATCCAGGGCAGGACCTAGGCCCTTACCCATGTGTCCAGGCTGAGAGAGCATCCCTCCATGTGGAATGGGCTCCCAAAGTTCATTTGTATGCCATGGTTAACACTGATCTACTACCCAAGGCCCCAGAGATTTCTGAGGCCTCCTCACTGACACTACATTCATAGAGTCTGGATCAGTCCCCTGTTGGCCTCTCAACCATCAGTCTGGGGTTCAAGAGCTCCCCCTTGTCCAGTCAGTTGTCTTTGTGGGTTTTGCCAGCACCGTCTTGACCCCTTTGTTCTTCATTCCTCCATCTCTGTCACTGGGTTCCAGAGGGCCAGTTCAGTGTTTAGCTGTGAGTATCTGTCTCTGCTTCCATCAGTCACTGGATGAAGGTTCTAGGATGCCATATCATCAGGTAGGGGCTATTAATGTAGTCTCTCCACTATTACTTAGTTTTCCAGTTGGTGTTATCCTTTTAGATCTCTGGAAATCTCACTAGTGTCAGCTCTCTCCTCAAAGCTATAATGACTCCAACTATTATGGTATCTCTCATCCTAGTCTCCTCTATTCTTACCCCAACTCAACCTTCCTGCTCCCCCATGTCTTCTTCTACCCTCCTCTTATCCCCCTCTCTTTTTCCTGGTTCCCTCTCCCCTCCCCCCATGTTCCCAATCTGCTCAGGAGATCTTGCCCCATTGCATTTTAGCTTTTAATATGTAATAAAGAACAGGTAAAATATTTCCCTTATTTCCTGTGAACCAAAGAATTTCTGAGCTGTGTTCTGTTTCTTTCACAGATGACGGATATAATAGATTTACTGTACTTGGTACAAACTATGATGAGTATATTATATTTAAACTCAGAAACAACAAGACTGGAGAAATATCCCACGTGATGGAGCTCTTTGGTAGAGTATTTTCACACAGACACTGATCTTGGGGTGGAAAAAGAAGAGAAGAAAGAAACCCTAGGTTTAACATGGTTTTTCCAGCCTGGCCCTGAACTGCCTCTTTTTTCCTTATCTACTGCAGACAGATGGTCACCTCTGTCATCCCTCAGGCACAGTGGTGGGGGTGGAGGTCTCTGAAATCCCTCACTATGCCAGTAAGATATCCTATGGATGCCAAATTCATGACAGGTCATGTCCATGCTTGATGATCATGTTGTCAATCATTTTCTCATCCTTCTTGAGGGGCCCTGTTCCATCATTCACCTCAATGAATGAAGTCAATACACAAGATGCAATCACTACTGTCACCATTATTTTTCACAGGCCGGAAACCAGAGCTGAGTTCAAACATCAAGGAAATGTTTGGGGTTCTATGCAAGGAGAATGGAATTGTTAAGGAAAATATATTGGACCTAACTGAAGCTAGTAAGTCAGGACTCACATATTTTTCTTTTCCTGATTTCATATCACAGAAAGGACAAATCCCAGACATTGGCAAACAGACATGTTTTGCCACTATAGAAGCATCTGTGGAAATAAATTGGACCTGGTACCTGACTGTGTTCTTGTTCATACCCTGCAGATCGCTGTCTCCAGGCCCGAGATGGAAGAAACGCCTGAGCCTCCAGGTGGGTAATCTCCAGTGAGAATGAAGAGGGGGTGGGCAAAAATAAGGCCCTTCCAAAAGCATTAGTATTGTGTCCCAAAATTTCAATAAAATAACTGATAAGGAGTCTTTGAGGAGAGCTTGAAATTTGGCTTCAAATGATCTGGTTTTGTGATTTAGTCCTACAATGAGCTTTTCAGTAAGTGACCCAAGCAATTAAGTAAGGAAACAAGGATGGGAACTGACATATTTGCTCTACCGTTGTACAGAAGGGCTGTACCATTATTAAAGGACTCAGTAATGCATCAAATTTCATTATGAATGTGAGTATAAATGCTCACCAGTGTCTGGGTCCACCTCCCTCCCACACCTGATAATAACAATTTCCTTTGAAGTCTGCACAGAATTGGCTTCTTATACAGAAATGGAACTTCCCGATCTGCACTTCTCCACCAGTCTGGAGTGCACACTGAGTTCCTTCTTTTGTTCTCTTTCCCATTCATTCCAAGACTTCACTCTGATAATGTATGAAAGCCTTTAAGAGTTGTTTTTATCATTATTCCTCAATTTACTGAAAATTCTTCAGAGCATTGTAATGAGTCTTTCTCTGTTCCACCAACCATCTCCCAAATAATGACACTGACTTTTTATTTATTATGACAGAACATCCTGTAGATTAGGCTTGTACCTACTTAACTTTTATAACTTAAATTAACCCATTTGTATTAATGTGCATTCACATGGTGTTACCTCTCTTCCATCTTGCACCTCCTGGTTCCTCTCCAGTTCCTCTGGCTGACTGCTCTACCCCTTCCTCTTCTCTGAGTCCTCTCTCTTTCTCTGCCCATAAGTCCCACCTAAATGTCCTGCCTTGTTATTGGTGGTTCATGTCTTTATAAAACCAATCACAGTGACACATCTTCGCACAATGTACAAATATTGCACAACAGAGCTGTTTATGCCAAAGATTGTGGGAACAAGACTAGAATCTTTCATTACTGTTATTTCTCATATGGCATCAATAAGGAAAAGGTCATTTATCCTATGCCTTTTGTCCTATAACATCAGTTGGGTGGCCGGGGAAGTTCTGTGTCTTCACACTTTGCTCTGGATGACAGAATGGCTCTATGTCCTGAAATCAGCTCTAGCAGTGCTTAATAAGTGTCTGCATTCTTTCTTCCTGGCTTCCTCAGTGTTGAGTGGGGACTCCTAACCTGGACTCTAACATCATGCCTTCCTGTCCACACCCTGTTCTGTGAGAAGTCCTGTGATCCGATTGCCATCGATGCCCCCCAGAAAAGCATAAACCCTGCATCCCCAGCATCTTCCCTGATTATCTAGGATGACTCATCCAGAATCAAAGGATTTCTGTTAAATGTCTCTTTGTCATGAATGTCTTCCTCTCCCTGCTCAATAAATGATTACCCTCGCAGTTACATACATGTCTCTGTGTCCAATAAATGTGGTAATGACAGAAATTGGATGAGGGGACCTGCTGGGTCCTGTAGGCAAGGTCCTTCCTCATGTCCTAGAATCAAACCTTAGTTCAGAGTTTACTTCCTCTGCAATAATCTCAATCCCCAATGAGTGCTGCCTGCTCATAGGTTCTCCTGTTTTAGTGGCCTTAGAATGACCACAGGAACACAGACTTGCTGCACACTTCCTCCAACCATAGTCTCATAAATTCCCTGGGAACACAGACTTGCTGTACACTTTCTGCATCTACAGAGCCTCTTTTTCAATAGAGCATGGAGAGACACAGGATTCTGAGGCTACACCTACTCAATATGGTTTCAGATGTGCACCTCAGAAAAAAGAATGGTTTGGTCACTAGAGGCACAAAAGATAAAGAGAAAAGGCTGCCTACCTCCCCACAGCATGTTCTGACCCCTAGATCAAGAGATTAAATTGGGTTCAAGCTCATGGCTTCAGAATCAAGTTATTGGTGTACTTTGATAAAATATGGCAAAAGACTATCCAAAAATACAACCAGTTATGCTGAAACCCCCCTCATTCCTCCAACCCCACCTCCTGATGACTCTGATTCCCAGGCTGGCCTAAAATTCCTGGGTCCAGGTCGTTCTCTTGCCCCGGTCTCTTAAGTGGTTGCAACTATATCCATGTACCCCAACTTTTCATTTTTAATCTGGGCATTTAAGAGACAAAAAGAATCTGTACACCACATATACTGTCATTGAGTTACTCAGAAAAATAAATAGCAGTTCTAATATGGGATTCTGTTAACAGGAAATGGCTTGACAATGCCACAATGAGACAAGAGACCACAATGCAGAGAAAGGCACAGAAAAACTTTTGGCTGCTCCCAGGACAAGATGGCAGTTTGAGTTCACCCTGAAGCTGCCCCTTCAACACCAGCACTTTGTGGGAAAGAGTCATGAAATAAAACCATTCAAAGTCAAGGAGGAAATTAAAAACCTCAGACATAGGGCAATCCCTTTCTAAGGGAAGATACAGGGAAGTGATTGTTGTCAGGATAGACTATTCTCCATGATCTGGGGACTCACTGAAACTAACTAGCATAGAGGACTGGGGATAACTGTCACAAAGGAAATGGAGACGGACAGATCCGGAGGGCTCAGTTTGATGGCTGGTGCAGCCTCTAGCTCAGACTGCTGGACTCCAAGGAAACAACAGTCCTGGTTTCCAAATATAGTAGACAGCCTCTGGCCAACAGCACTCAAGGTTGTTCTCTGGCCGCCACACGCACATACACATATGCAAACCTGTACCAGTACGCACCCACACATACATAAATACCACACACACACACACACACACACACACACACACACACACACACACACACCTCAAATCATAATCCAATATGTCTCAGTGAATATGGAATTAATTTCTCTCTCCATGTATTCATTCAGGAACCTGGTTCTTTCTCTCTTATCTCCATAGGACATGTTCTTGTCCACATGGTACAAGATAAGAGGAGACAGTAGGTTACCCTAATGAAGTTAGCCGATGCTATAGGAAATACAATATATTTATTTAGCATTAAGAAAATTCAACGTTAGTAAAGCATTATATAACCTGTGTTTGAGGGTCTTTGTTCCCCCTTGCTGTTTATGAAGCATCTCTTTTAAGGTTTGATTAGATCTTTCAACCACTGCTTGTCCTGTGGGATTGTAAGGTATACCAGTAACATGCTTTATATTAGAATATTTGAAAAATTGTTCCAATTTACTGGAGACATATGCTGGAGCATTGTCAGTTTTTATTGTTTTAGGTATACCCATAACAGCCATCACCTCTAAGAGGTGTGTAATAACAGAATCAGCCTTTTCAGAGCTGAGGGCAGTAGCCCATTGGAATCCTGAGAATGTGTCTATGGTATGGTGTACATATTTCACACTGTCAAATTCTGGGAAGTGAAATACATCCATTTGCAAAAGTTCATTTCTGTGAATACCTTTAGGATTACAACCTGCTGATAATGGAGTTTGATTGTAGAATGAGCAAGTGGGGCAATTTCTTACTATTTCTTTGGCTTGTTGCCAGGTGATAGAAAAATCCTTCTTTAAACCTTTGCTGCTAACATGGTGTTTCTTATGAAATTCTGAAGCTTCCAACACATTACCTATTAATAAATGATCAATTTCATCATTGCCTTGTGCCAGAGGACCTGGCAGACCTGTATGTGATCTGATGTGTGTTATATATATAGGATGAGTCCTGTTTCTGATGGTTTCCTGTAATTGTAAAAAAAAAAGAGGTTAATTATGTGCCATCAGGAACAAATTCTGCAGTCTCAATGTGCAAGACAACTCTCTCTGCATACTGAGAATCCGTGACTATATTGAGAGGCTCTGTAAAGTCTTTAAGTACCATGAGAATAGCATATAACTCTGCCTTTTGTACAGAGTTGTAAGGGCTTTGAACTACTTTACTTATATTTCCTAATTCATACCCTGCCTTACCTGATTTGTTTTCATCCATGTATAAGGTAAGAACTCCAGAAATAGGTGTTTGTCTCAAGATACACGAAAGAATCCAAATTGTTTTCTTTATGAATTTGATTCTCTCTGTTTTGGGATAGTTGTTACTAATAATTCCCAAAAAGTTACTGCAAGCTATTTGCCAATACTCATTATCCTTCCATAAGGAGGAAATTTCCTCATTAGTTAAAGGTACAATAACTTCAGCTGGGTCTTTCCCAGTCAGTTGACGAAGCCTTAACCTACATTTTAATATCAAATTGGAGATATTTTCTATATATGTTTTCAATTTTTTATTCTGCTTGTGCTCTGTTCACTATATTCTGAATCCAGGAAGTTCTGCCTCACGTGTTATCCTTCATGGCCAGTTCCCACTTCCTGTTTGCTCAGATTCAGAGCAATTATCTTGAGCACTAAGGAGTCACAAGACTCGTCAAAGGCCAGGCATGAATTTCTTTTGGCAACACGAACTCTTCAAAAACATAGAGGATGTTTGTTGTATTTTCCCCTCAACCTCTCCATGTTTAGATACCTTATGTAGTCAGAGATTTAAGACTAGAAACTCTTGCAATTTTCTGGATTGGCTTCTAGGACCTGCCTACCCCCTTCTCGTCCCTTATTGTGATGGTGAACATTTTGAAGCCATCTAAAACAACAGACTTTAAGTGGACTGGCTCTTTAACCACTTCCCCAGCAGTCCCCCAGGCTCTCAGCAGTTTTCTTATCTGCTCTGAAGCTTAGACTCTCACTTCACTGACATCATTCACACTGTTTCAATTCAGGATGCAGAAGCAGGGACTCTCAATCAAGTTGGAGTGAGGTTGTAGGCCAGGAAGGCCTAACTTAGTAACACTCACTGCCTGTGAGCTGAAGGTCCCAGGAAAAGAGGCTGCACTGTTTTGCACATTCTACAAGGCTGATCGACTGACTAAAACTTCAATGATTGTAGAGAGTTGGAATGTTGTAGGACCAGAACTAACTTGTCTTAGCTATCAAAATCCCCTAAACCCTTCATTTCCTGCCTCTGTGTGTGACCCTAATATCTTGTGTCTTTTAGGTAAATAGGTTGATAATGTTTTCAGTATCTGAGGCTGACATTCCCAGTTTGATGGGACCCACCAACCTGATGGTCACACCAATACATTTTTAAAGGATCTTAATCTATGTTTTCTTTGTTATGTTACTATGTAGATGCATAAAACTGTTGCCACATTAGAATATGGTATTTGAGGTAGCTTAAAATCATGTTCCTGGTCTATGGTCACTCATATTTGGCTCTAGAATAATCTAGTGCTCTCTATCTCTCTCTCTCTCTCTCTCTCTCTCTCTCTCTCTCTCTCTCACACACAATATTTATTTATTATTGAGGGAGAGGGTCCATCCATGGTCACCTTTTGGGACTTCATCCTCTCCTTGTAGGGTGTGGATTCTAGGGCCTGAATTCAGGTTATCAGTTGTTGTGAGATAACCTTTTTGCAAACTGTGAAGATGTGCCTCTGCCTAAGGCACCTTCTGATTGGCATAATAAAGAGACAGATGGCCAATAGCTAGGAAGAGGAGAATAGACAGGACTTCTGTTGAGTTAAAGGAATTTGGGGCATGAGGGATTAAGCCATTAAGACACAGTGTGTAGGAGACCTAAAGAGCCACTTGACAAAATGTAGATAAATATAAACAAGTTAAATTAAGTTGTAAGAGCTAGTTGGGAACAAACCAAACTAAGGCCAAGCTTTCATAATTAGTAAGAGGTTTCCATATCATTATTTGGGAACTGGCAGTGCAAAGAAAGCCAGACTATAATCAGTCCTACCAATCTGCTCCTTTACCTGCTGTGAAGTTGGCTTGCTTCAGGATAATGTTATGGGATACTATTTTAACTAGGCAAAGATGTGTTACATTTGGTTATGTTGTGGAATATTACTTTAACTATGAAAAGTGTGTTACATTTGTTTAAACTGCATTTGTTAAATGATGTAAAGATTTGTTCCATTTGTTTCACCTTGCCTGCCTAAGGCACCTGATTGCTCCAATAAAAATCTGAACGGCCAATAGCTAGGCAGTAGAGGGATAGGTGGGGCTGGGGGGCAGAGAGAATAAATAGAAGAAGTCTAAAGAAGAGAAGGAGAGGAGAATGAAGAAGACAGAGAGGGAGGCACCTGGGGCTATCCAGACAGACATGAAATAAGGACATACAGAATGAAAGGTAAAAAGTCCTGAGGCAAAACAAAGATGAAGGGGAACAGGTTAAATTAAGCTATGAACTAGTAGAACAAGCATAAGCTAAGCATATTATGTCTCCATGTCATGATTTGGGAGCTGGAGGGTGGTCCAAAGGAAGCCTATACTTAAATAAACTCTTTTTTATCTGCTAGAGGTAAGAGCTTTGTTTTTGAACCAACATTACACTTCCCACAAGGCAGGCTCCAGCCCATATGCTTGCTTTGGTAGGTTTTGCTGGAAAGAATAATCAC